GGGTGAGAACTTTCTACCTTACCCTCGTATATTGATAAATGTATGAACCAAATGATGACCTTGAAAGCTGGTAGTGTTAAGATGTTGATCCACTATAAATGCTGCCACGCGATTGCTTATTATACCTTATAGTTTTGAAGTCCACCCTACCATTTGCTAATTAGCCGAATAGGTTGATAAATCCTGTCATTTCATAAAGGAGAGCAACTGAGGGAATGTCTTAAGAAAGAATGTATGAAACTTCAGCCACAATAAAACGTTACTACAGGATTATAGTGTAATCCAGAATTCAGTTTTTGAATTTTTACAACAAGAAAGTTGATAATTCCAGTTTATATATTGTGGCCAATAATATGTAATGCATTGTATCTCCTACTGTGGCGCTAGTCTCACAATTAAAACCCAGATTAATACCGCCTAATGAGCTTATTTACAAAACACTGAGGACAATATAACTCAAGATTCGAAAAAGTTCTTGACATTTATCAGTGCCAAAAAAGGTATGTCAAGGATTCCTGGCAGTATGTCGTTCAATGACCACATATATGATTCGCCTCGAGAAATTGTTGATGGTTTTGCTTCATTTTTTTCTTGCGTGTTTTCTCAGCAGGCTCTACCAAACAGTTATGATGATTTGCAAGGTTACAACGACTGTTTGAATCTTTACACGATAACTGAAAATGATGTCGTTCTTGCAGCTAGGAAATTAAAGAATAAGATGACCTCTGGAGAGGACAATATTCCTAGCTTCATAGTCAAAGATTGCATTCACGCTCTTGCTAGACCACTTTCTGTTATTTTCAACTGATGGTACGCAAATATGGACAACGTCTAAAGTCCCCCCCTGTTTTCGAAGGCCGTGATACATCTGATATGACAAACTACCGTCAAATTGTCATTTTATGTAATTTTAGCAAATTATTTGAGATAATTATTTACGAGCATATTCATAATTTTTTCAGGCCCGATATCGCTGAATTTCAACACCTAATTTAGCTTGTTTTACCCAGGTTGTTGCCAAGACTCTGGATCAACAAGGCCAGGTTCATGTAGTTTATACAGATATACAGAAAGCCTTTGACCGAGTCAACCATCCCTTATTACGACATAAACTATTAATCTTAGGATTCTCTGAAAATCTACTCTCGCTCCCCCAGTCATATCTTTCGGATAGAACGCTATTTGTAGAATATGGTGGTTACAAGTCTAATAACTACATAGCTACTTCAGACGTTCCCCAGGGGTCTAACTTGAGACCTTTATTATTTTTGATATTTATTAATGATTTGTCGGTTGAGATTAAATGTCATCATTTATGTTTTGCTGATGATTTAAAAATTTATAATAATATCGTAACTTTCGAAGACTGTCATTTTCTTCAGAGTAACTTGGAAGTTATCAATTTATGGTGTTCCAAAAACCTCCTCGCACTAAATGTATCAAAATGTAAAGTAGTAACATATTGCAGAAAACGGAATGTTATGCTTTATGATGACTACAGTACTAATCAGGTAAGGTTAGAAAGGAGTAACAGTTATAAGGACCTAGGTGTTACATTTGATGCCGAGTTCACTTTTAATGATCGTATAAATAGCATTACATCGTCTGATTTCCGAATGCTAGGATGCTGTGTTAGAAACTGGTCAGGTTTCTCAAACGTTGAAACACTCAAGCTTCTATATCTAGCATACGTCAGAAGCATGCTTGAATATGCATCGCTTATATGGGCACCTGTTTATCAAAACTCTATTAGCAGACTAGAATCTATTCAACGAAGAGCAGAAAAGTGTATGTTCTTCAAATGCAATGGTTTCTATCCACAAAGACGCTTCGACCATAATGTATTGCTCAAAACTTTTGATATCAAACCGCTTGAAGTACGCCGAAATATTTCTGCTCTGTCTTTTTTGTTCAATTTACTCCACAATAAGGTTTACTGTCCATATATTCTAAGTAAGATACGTTTTAATGTTTCTCGCTTAGGTAACCGTTATTGTGCCACATTTTACTATGATTTCTGCCATACCAATGTCTTGTCCAAGTCTTCTGTGCATAGGATGTGTACAATATTCAATAGTTTCGGTAACTGCGACATATATATTAAATGTTACTAAATCTCGCGTTATTGAACTTTACCTTGAAGAACTTCTAAGGTAGGATATTAAGGTTGATTATTACTTACCTATATACTATAATTCTTATCTATGTATCTGTTTACTGTGCTTATTTGATATTTATTGATATTTTCTGTAATTGGGTGTATCTGCCTGTTGGAAATAAACATTATTATTATTATTATTAACAAGAATCTGCTTGTCGTTTTTGAAATCGTCATCAAGTTAAGGGCTACCTCTGATACTATAATATTGCGTTCTATTGTTACAATGGTATTAAGCATTCCTTAAATTATGGCATAAAACAGAAGGTACGTACTGCAGGATCTACTAGATCACAAAGTAAGATTTAATTACACCGGTAAAACGTATTCATTGTCTACTCAACCTACTTAACAAGGCAATGATAATTCGTTTTTAATGAATTAAGGTTTTAGACCAAATTAGTGTGTATTTATCCCGTATAATGGGTGGAACGAGTAGAGACTCAGTGATGTCTCTAATTCCAATACAATTTATAATAGCAGTAAGGCTCATCGGGCATCTGTCATGTTTTATTCATGTCAATTAATTATAAATAATACGATACTGGTTTGGATACAAATAGGAATGATTTGTGCGGCATCGTTCTGTAAATACAGCTTATAGTCAACGAAGTTTACGGTATGATAGTCAGAGCTGTGTAGTATCCTATACATAGTGTATATCTATTATTGAAGTATGTTAGCTAAACATTTGTGTCTGGTATAGTAGTCAAATCAAAACACATTTGAACGTGGCGATACTCAAGCACCTGGTGCCTGTTGTAACGAAGGCTCCATCGTCTTGATGGATTGAATGCAGTAAATAATAACTCCAATTGTCAAGGTCAATAGCAATCGCTTACTTAACTGCGTTCACTATCACTCGGCAGCTGAATCTCAGCGCAGTTTAGAGTAGGATCAGCTGCTAAATGTAATAGCCGCGTCCGCTGTTTAAAGTGAAGTGAGATAGTCTGAATAGAGAAACGTCTCTCAAATTAGTGAATGAGTGGCTGACATAGTTGAAAAAGTACAGCTGAGGCAACCAGGTCAGAACACAACCTGGACATAACTCATTCATGATTATGTTCAATTATACTGTAGGACATTGTAATTTTTCATATCCACAGTACCACAACCTAAATTCGGTGAGTTTTACACACAAATAGAATAAACTTGTTGCATGTGACGACACATTTTACTATTCTGATGTTGTTCTTCTTCTAATGCAGTTCGGATAAGGGAGAATAAATCTCACATTACTTAAATTCCGTTTTGTTGAAAAGAATATGCAGAGTAAACTGAAGAGGGAAGGGCGTATCTGAGCCTTTTATGTGGAATGAACGCTGTTGTAAATAATGTGCACATGTTGCATGTTACTTATTGCATCAGGCATGTGAAAGTAACAAAAAAGATGATCATCATATCAGTATCATCAAAGCAAGTGATGAATTATGCAATCGTGTCTCATGCATTCGAAGCAAGAAAGCTAACTAATTACCAAGCTTTCAATTAAATATTATCCGATAATGAGAGTTAAGCTGTATGAGATTACAAGAGACAAATTGATAGTGACCTTGTTACTCAAACAGAATGTTGGACAGATCTGATGTGCGATAGCAGGACGAATTTAGTTGAAAGTAGCTTTAGATGCATGAAGAAGAATTGCATACCTGAAATTCCGGCAAGAAGCCAAAATTTTTTAGCTATCTGTAACCTCAATATTTGACTGATTGTTTAGGCAAATCTTAGCTAATGATTTTGAGCTTCATGGACAGACTCGATGGTCCAAAATATGTATCTTGTAGCTTAGGAACGAAATACGAAATAGTTTTAATAATGTGATTTGATGTTTCCAGTTATAGTGACATAGGGTGTCACAAAAATGTAACCTTCACATGAGCAATGTAATTTTATTTTTACTAAGCTCATACGTTTAACGGCTGATAACAGTTCAAACTCATAATGATGAACACGTGCTATTAGATAAACGCTTGCATCAAGACACCATCCATTGTCGTTGAGACACTGTGTTTAAACTTCACCCCAGATAATATTGAACAATGTAACACAGAATATAAATTTGAACAGAAATTAGATTAAAATAATAATTGCAACATAATAGGTAGTCTATAATAAAAGAACTAAATGGAATCCTATATTTATCTCATGAAACCACATTGAGCCATATGCTAATATGCTTGAGATATTTTTAAATATTAATATCTACTTCCTCACAGCATATGTCACTATTAACGAACTGTGCCTGAGCCAGCTATTTGACTAAGCAGTTGATTGTTGGATGCAAATATCTCAAAAAGGGTCTGTACTAACCGAAATAAGTACATTTTTCACTTAAAATAAGTATCACTCTAATCTCCTATGATCATCTGACTGAAACCAAACCTCATGTGCTAAAAAATCTTCGTTATTGAACGACGCTTCGGTTCTAACAGTGACCTTCTCCAGGTTTAATTGACACTTTTAGGCAATATAGATAAAGAGCGCCGTTCACACACTAGGCCGAAAAATTCAAAGTTGTCGTATACCTCAAAAGCTGCTAAGTTGTAATTTTCGTTTTAATACCATAGGGCGGTTTTGAAAATTGATGAGAGACATTATTTATGGAACAACTAGCTCAATAGTATTATTTTCACAAGGGATCTAGGGTTGCTTCTTGATAAAAACATTATGGACCACCCTAAGTTTCCAGAGGAACAAAAATTATAGGCAACTCTTGGTCGGTGTTCTTGTTGTGGAATATCATTTCACACAGTTGCACCAAAGGTCACATAATCGTTTTATCACCCAAAGGATGTCCTTTGCACTAAACTGTCACTATTTCCTTGATGCAGGTGGTACTCACCGAATTGATATGTTGTCCCTTGGTGCCATCATCCACTACAGGGCCGGCGTTGACTAGGCACGTACAGGCTACGATCACGACACTTATCACTTTCAAGTCCATTTTGCTACTCCGTGCACACCTGACAACCCAAACTGAGAACTGTAATTTAATTTGAGAGACTGGCGTGTGCTAGTGTAGCATATCCAAGAAACGGCACTGAATGGGAGTTTGCAGGAATCAACAAGTTTTTATATATGGCCGTAAAGTGTGTCGCATGGACCAACGATGTGGAGGCTGAAAATACCACTTCTTCGCCAGAGCTTAGGCGGGAAGAAGACCGGTGTACCGTTGGTCCGCTGTAGTCTGCAGGAGAAGGATATGCACAGACAGTGAAATTTCGACCGCGTGGTTTACGATTTCGGATGTTTCCGGTAGAATCTGTTTTGTGTGATGCAAATTAAGATTTTAGATGGATACCTACATGAATTAAAAAATTCTGAAGGACTGGCATGGCGTGCAACTTTCACTTCCGTTATTGTGAACTTATTATCTCTGTTATCTGGAGTACATGCAGGTGGTGCTGATGAATTCACAGTGCTTACTGTTTTACAACTTGTAACAGGTGGACAATTCGAACCCAATTGTTAATATTTTGGTCGACTTTATCTTCATTAAGAAATAGAAAACATATGTAGTGCTTAACATGAGTAATTAAAATCTTTTTGGACCTACTTAGAGTCGCAGCTCTGTTGATGATTTAGAAGAGGAGTAAGGTGAAGTGTGATGTATTTGAGCTGTCACCAACAGATATCAAGCTTTCAGAACAAAACAAATTTAGAGATACAAACAATTTTGACGGCTTTTTTTTAACGCCAAATTTGAAAACACCACTGCTTTACTTATATAAAAATATATATACATTTTTGGTGAAAGTGGTCCAAAAAACTTGTAGGGGATGGAAGTACCTTCAACATTAGGCCTTTCGTCAATTATTGCTGTGATGGTTAATTTTTGTTTTTACAAAAAAGAGTCAACCATTGTCGATTTCTATATCTGTTTTTTACTGGAAGGTGCATTGCAGTGGATTTGCTTTAACAGCCAAAACTTAAAGCCTGCATGCTAACTAAAATTCTAAAAAATTGTCCAAAGATAGTCGTTTCTGCAAAGTTTTTTTTACAATAACGACGGACTGTCCCGCAACTTTGAGTTGATCAAATGACCTGAGGTCATTCCCTTGCTAGAAACTTACTTTAATATCGTGTTAAAAGAGGAAGTAGAATATAATCTCATATTAATTATGTAGAAACAATTAGAAGTCTACTGTTTTTTCAGTCATAATTAGTATGCTCAACATTAAAAATCTGACAGAATAAACACACTCTTTGATAAGAAAATTAACGTTTTTGGACCTTTGGGACCGAAATAACTTTTTCTCTACCTAACGTTAGTTTGCAACATTACTGCCCAATTTCAGTTTTGACCCGCCAGAATTGCGACCTACAGTATATTCAGATAAGAGACAGTCCGGATGTAAACAAAAGGTTCGGGTGATTTTCACGCTAACGCCGCCGTCTCGATGTAAAACAGGAGCCCTCATTGGTCAATTCGCAATTAAATGCCTATGCCGAGCGGCAGAGCAGTCGTATCAAGGCAGAGTCACATTCAGGTTCAGACGTGTTACGTATGTCGTGTGCATCATTGCAATTTGATATTTCTTTGGACGTTTTCGTTTGTTATCTTATTAAGTTGTTGAGTTTGTCGTTGTTATTGTTATACCTTGTTATTGATTGTTATTGTTATCAACTGCTTGCGCAAAATGCCCAGTAGTACAGATACTGCCGATGAAGTTGTAAACTCCGGTAGTCCACCTAGGAAACGCTCTAAAAAAGACACCTGAGTGCAGAAATGAAAGAGGTCATTTTGAATATATATAAGATCGAGCGCGAGGAGAACAAGGCATCAACCATCAAAGAAATTGTTGTGAAGGATTCTCACAAAGTTGGGGTGTGTCGCGCATCAGTGTTTAATGTGTTAAGACAATACAAAAAAAATCACACCTTTTCTGAGCCAATGACCAGTAAACATCGCAAAAGTATTGTTAAATCATTGGATGAAGCTGATAAGCATGCGATTAGGAGGAAAGTGCGTGAATTCTTCTTTAGGAATGAAATACCTACTATAGATAAAGTACTGCAGGAGGTAAATGGAGATACAACGTTGCCAAATTTCAAACGATCAACTTTCCATGCGTTACTGAAGGATTTAAATTTCAAATGGAAAAAACGGGGTCGTAATAGTTTACTACTGGATAGAGAAGAAATTGTGCTATGGAGGAGGGATAATTTAACAAAAATTGGGAAATATAGAAATCAAAACAGGAAGATTTATTACCTTGATGAAACGTGGGTAAACGCAGGACACACTGCAAGTAAAGTATGGGTTGATGATTCCGTAACTTCATCCAGGAGGGCCTTTCTAGATGGAGTGTCCACCGGATTAAAAAATCCAGCAGGTAAATACGAGTAATAGACAACAATCGGATGTTTTTCAAACCTTGGGAACAAGGTTCTAAACATTAATTCCAGGGGGCAGATAAAACATATTACAAGTAACAAAACTTTTATAACTTTCGATAAAATGCGTGGATGTTTTATTGTCATTTTCATTTGTTAGAACTTTTTTAAGCCATGTTTTTATGTGTTTTCGATATTTCAATAATTTTTTAATATAATCTTAAAATATGTCGAATATTATAAACTTAAAAAAAGTTACTAAGTTTTATATTGTGTACCGTTCCTGATATTTCTAATCATTTTAATTCATACTTTAAGCTTTATAAAGTTATAATTTGTTAATATTAATATTTGCGCGTATTTCAGGTTCCTGATCATTAATTTTTTAAAGGTTTATAACTTTAAATTAAATTGTGAAGCGCTGAGTAATCATACGACGTTCAATATTCTTTCTTTCAATATGACTAAATAATCCCAATTATAGCAATCTGATACTCATGTCTCAATGTTTTTTCGCTGAATGTGATGAAAACATTTGAAAAAGGTTCGCTTATTGAAATAAATCTACACCAGTTAGTACTTCGATTTCCAGGTATAGGGAAAAGGCTCATTATCTGCCATATTGGCAGTGACGATGGATTTGTTGTTGACGGTCTGAGCTGCTTTGAGTCTAAGAAAACTGGAGATTACCACGAGGAAATGAATGGCGAATCGTTTGAACAGTGGTTTTCAAAAATTTTACCGAACTTAGAGGAAAACGCAGTAATTGTGTTGGATAATGCGCCTTATCATTCTCGAAGAATGTTGAAGGTCCCAACAACGGCTTCAAGGAAAGTTGATGTTCAAAATTGGCTCCGCTCGAAAAATATCAACTTTGAAGAAGCAATGCTGAAAGTACAATTATTAAGAATTGTCAAGGATCACAAGGCGGAATATCAAAAATACGCCATTGACGAAATGGCAGCAAGTCAAAATAAAACTGTGCTCCATTTACCTCCATACCATTGCGAGCTCAATCCCATTGAGCTCATATGGGCAGAGGTTAAAAATTATATAGCTAAGCACAATACAACTTTTAAATTTTGTGACCTCAAAGGACTTTTCAAAGAAGCACTAGAATTAATAACAGCGCAAAAATGGGAAAACTGTATTAAGCACGTGAAAGACAAAGTTGAAAACAGAATGTGGGAACTGAACAATATTTTAGAGGAACAAGTTGAGCCATTCATTATTGACGTTGGTGCTTCAGGCAGTAGCGATGATGAAAGCTCATCAAGCTCATCTTTCCAATAAAAGATGTCGTTCATCAAATTCGGTAAGTTATAAGTAATTATAAAGCTACTGTATTTTTGAATTAATTATTGACATTTTTGAACCCATTTTGGCAAAACCTATTCAAGAATCTACTTTCTGACAATGTTCAACCATGCACATTTTTTTACGTTTTGAACGTTTTAATTTGGTTACATATTTACCTAGAAATCAAAAAATATACTAATCAATATTCTAAAAGCAATTTTAAGAGATATACGATTATTTTTAATTTAGGCTAACTTAAACGGCATTTTGAGATTATATTCGACTGTATTTCACCAAACATCAGGCGGCATCCGAAGCTGGAAATCGAAGCGAAAATTTTGAAACCCTTATATATAATATATATATATATCATTATATAATTCTTACCCCACCCCCACATGATCCTATATCCATCACCAATCGTATACACATCGAATCGTGCTAATTTACTACAAAGTTACGCAAAGCAGCATCTACTTTCTAAAATATGTACTGCGTGACTCTTAATACGTCCCTGCCGAATGTTACAGCGTTCGATGATCATGTGGTCTTGTTTATGTCCGGTCTATCTCTTATCTGAATATACTGTAGACGCAAACTCAACCAATAAAGAAGGATTTTCGATCTAATCGCAAATTCGGCCAATCAAGAAGAGGTATTTGCTCACTATTCAAAACATGGGTGAAACCTGATGTAATATCTAGATTGATATCAACAATTACTGAACGTTTTATTGGAAATAACAGTGTCGCTTACCTTAGGCAGATGATTTGGAAAAAACGGTTATGTTTTTAGCAATTTGTTTACATAGACGTTAGCTACAAGAACCTACCTCTTTATAGGTTTGTATCAGGTCAGTCCAACTGTATCAGTGATTTTTGTGCTTGCTGTATAAAATTCCGCTAAATAAATATTTTTAGGACATACATAAAATTACAGAACTATTATTTTTTAGTTTAGAGGTGGTGTAGTCGCTCGACCATCCATTAGGTACTTCAAAGACGCCTTCTGATTGGGCTCTGGGCGCAACTCTGCGCCCCGGATCAGTTTGAAGGAATACTTGACGTGTATTAAACTGCCTGCTAAGAACTATATCGTTTCATATTGCGATTGCATACACCTTGCAAAGGTGGGGCATTCCATAGCTATATCGAATGACGTCATTGAAGTAGTGGGGTATGTTTGATTCTTTTGTGCTAAATTGTATTTTTCTGAGCTTTTTATTTGAGATTTATATCACAATAATTATAAGGATTTGGTGAAATCTGGAAGCATCACCCACAGTTCTTCGGTATATTGTTCAGTGCAAACGTGTGCACAAGTTCGAGACCATATTGGACGGTTGATGTGGGTGCTCCCTTTTATATCTCTTTTTCGGAGGCCAAAGGTCCATAACAG